CAGCTTCCAACGAGTGAGTAAATGTATTTACCTGCACTGTAGTAGCGGTCCAGCTTCTCCCAGATGGGTTCATCTTCCCGCTGGAGATTTGACAGCTTCAGAGGTTCATAGATGGAGCCTGAAGAAGAATATACATATTAAACACAAACACTTGCAAACACAGTCCTTCAATAGCTTTCCCAAAACTGATGTTCTTTAGAGGTTTAAGTTTAGCAACAGTTTCAGAATACATTTATTTTTTGTTGGATGTTTCCAGTTAAAAAAAGAAGACTAAAATTATAGTCTTGTGGTTGTATGTATCCATCAAACTAAAGCTGATGTTTACATTGATCTATACAGTAATATAGATTTCATCTCAATACAATTCAAGTTTATTTCTAAAGCCAAAAATAACAACAACAGTTGTTTCAAGGGGCTTTTTAAAATAAGATAAAGACCCTACAGTATTTTGGAGAAAACCCCGACAATCAAACAACATCCTATAAGTGGTATTTTGCGATGGTGGGAAGGAAAAACTCCATTTTAACAGGAAGAGACTTCCAACAGCCATTAATTTATGCAGAAAATAAAAAGGTAGAGACCGAATTATGAAATAACGCCAAAATCTCCATGTCTTTTTCCGTGTTACGGCACTGCACAATGGACAAAAAGTGTTTTTGCAAACATTGTGATATCACAGTAAAGCTGACCTTTGAACTTTTGGATAGAATAAAGAAGTGTTGACATTTTCTATCTGACTGTAAGAATTAGCACATAATGTCTTGAGGCATATCTTGAGTGGTCAAAGTGAGTTTGACCACCAAACTCTGTTTATCTTTAGAGAGATTGTGACTTGTCATATCTATTGGACAAACCTTTGTATGTACACAAAGACAACCTGAATGGATAATGCTCTGGCCACGGCTTTTGTCAGCTTGGGACACAAGAACAGGCAGCAGACAAAACACAGAAACAATACACACATGCTATCAGTACATTCTGTTTTTCACTGCAACACATCTGTGCTGAGACTCACAAAAGTCTCAGCACACAAAATGATATTCTAGCCCTGAGCTAAACATTCAGAAAGTACTGCGACTCGTGAGCAGACATTTTCCTCTGAACTGAGAGAGAGAGAGTAGCAGTTTGAGGGAAGCCCCAATTTGTTAGACTTTCTCTTTTTTCAGACACTTTTCACTTTGCTGAGATTTGCATTTTAATAGGTTTGACCTTGGGTCAATACCACAGGTACTGAAAAATTCACATTCTTACTGAAATTAGCATAATTTCCATCAGCGTAAAAGTTGCTGGGGACAAAGCCAATCCATCTCTTTTTAAAGATAACACTTTGAACAGGCACGGAGGAAGTACAATGTTCCAATTTTAATTTCTAACATGAGATCAGACAAATGTAAGCTGTCAGTGTTTGCTTGGTTTTAAACAATCCCCTGACTAACTTCAGTGACTTCATTAATACTGTAAATTCATTTTGTGCCATATCAGGATCTTTCATGCTTACTGTGAAGGAGCAATATAATTCTTCTGAGTTTAATCCACATAAGCCACACTGTATCAACAGTGTGAAATTACAGAAGATTATGGGTAATACTCTACTTTGCACGTCAGAATTCCCAACAGTCCAAGCATGAGATTGTTTTGTTTTCTTGTAAACACAGAAAAAAATGTTCTGACCTGAACTTTTCTGGGTTGCTGTTTGAAAGAATCGGATGATCACATTCACAACTTATGTTTTCCTGTAATTGTGAAATAAGTGTATGATCTAGAGTCCAGATATCGTCACCTATGTCCCCTTCAGCTGTTTCCCTCAGATCTGCTGTCACTACTTACCGAGTCTGTAAACTGTCCGGTGGAGCTTGGTTATCGCAGCCGAACCGGCCATTCTCAAAAGGTGAATTTAAGGCCAAGCGTCTCTCAGCTAAATCACAAATCTACAGCAATTCACAGTAAATGAGTTAGTAGCAGAGAGTTACAATTTCAGACGTGCATGAATCAACAACGAATTACATCCTGGGATGACGACAATGATCAAGAACATGCAAGAAATTACAATCCATTGTATTTATTTAGAAATGAG